ATCTCTTGAACCCAGGAGGTGGAGGTTGCAGTGAGTTGAGATCGTGGCACTGCACTCCAGTCTGGGCAACAGAGAATCTGACTCAAAAACAAACAAACAAACAAAAACAGAACTGAGCTTGAATTCCAAGATCAAGGTGTTGGCAGCCTTGGTTCCTTCTGAGGGCTCTGAGGATCTTTTCCGGGACTCTCTCTGCATGGCCTCTTCATCTTCACATGCTCTTCCCCCTGTATTCATCCCTGCCCAGTGTAAGGTTTATTCTCTGTAAGGTTTGTTGCCGAGTTTAAAATGAAGAAACTGAGGCCTGCATGAGAACAATTAGATGCTAATTTTTTTGGCTCCCGGGCGAGGTTTTATGGTCCAGGGGGCTAGAGAGGTCACACTTGACTTCCCTCAGGCGTGGGGTTATATAGGGAGGGAAGGTGCTCTGATTGGCAGTGGAGAACAGGGTGTGGCTGTGGCAAGCTGCTATAAGTAGGTAGGTGGGATTTCCAGTGAGCCGGCTGGACGGGGCAATGTGCTAGTGGGCCGGTTTTGGCGGGGCTTCTTTTAAATTTTGGAGGGGTTTTCCAATGGCCGGCTAGGTGCCGAGTGCAGAGTTTAGGGTTGAGTGCAGATCCTGGTGCTGAGTGCAGAGGGGATTTCCAAGGGGTTGAGTGCAGATCCTGGTGCTGAGTGCAGAGGGGATTTCCAACGGCGGGCTAGGTGCCGAGTGCAGAGTTTAGTGTTGAGTGCAGATCCTGGTGCTGAGTGCAGAGGGGATTTCCAAGGGGGCGGGCTAAGTGCCGAGTGCAGATCCTGGTGCTGAGTGCAGAGGGGATTTCCAACGGCGGGCTAGGTGCCGAGTGCAGAGTTTAGCGTTGAGTGCAGAGGTGGGCGTGGTGAAGCTAGATGCTGAGTGCAGATTCTGTTGACGTAATTTCAGGCATGGAGAGGGATGGGCATGTCCGAGCTTCTGAGGAGGCAACCGGCTTTACACCCAGATTTCCCATATTTATGTATGTATACATGTTAGAGACATAGCCTTGCTTTGTCCTTCAGGCTGGAGTGCAGTGGCGCAATCATAGCTCACTGCCACCTCGACCCTCCAGATTCAAGTGATCCTCCTGCTTCAGCCTCCCTAGTAGCTGGAACTACTGGTGGGGTTTTTTTATTTCTGTTTTTTGTTTTGGTAGAGACAGTGTCTCACTATATTGCTCAAGTGATCTTCCTATGTTGGCCTCTGAAAGTGCTGGGATTATAGGCATGAGCCCCCGCACCCTGTCAGATTTATCATTGTCTCGTTTTTTGCGTTTTGAGACAGCTTCACTCTTGTTGCTCAGGCTGGAGTGCAGTGGCACGATCTCGGCTCACCGCAACCTCCACCTCCTGGCTTCAAGCGATTCTCCTGCCTCAGCCTCTTGAGTAGCTGGGATGACAGGCATTGGCCACCACGCCCAGCTAATTTTGTATTTTTAATAGAGATGAGGTTTCTCCATGTTGGTCAGGCTGGTCTCGAACTCCCAATCTCAGGTGATCCGCCTGCCTTGGCGTTCCAAAATGCTGGGATTACAGGTGTGAGCCACAGTGCCCGGCCTTCCTGTTTTTATGATACCAGTTATATTGGATTAGGATCTACCCATCTCATTTTAAATCGATTACTTCTATGAAGACCTTACCTCCAACTCAGGTCACATTCTGAGCTACCGGGGGTTAGAACTTCAGTGTGACTGGAGAGAAGCCAGTTCAACGTCTAGCAGCAGGAATTCAGAATCAAGCTCTCGGCTGTGGGGAGCTCTCCCTTAAAGCGTAAAGCTCTCATTGATGGGGGCTGAGGCTGGATCCATCCAAGGGCCCTTGCTGCCCTTGGTCAGTGCTGGCAGCTGCACGACCAGCCCCCAAAGGACTGCAGCTTGCTCAGAATGCAAGTTCCAAGCCCCACGTTGCACCTGTGAAATCAGAAATTCTGGAGGCCCAGCTCTCTGCATTTTGTCTGCCTATTTGTTTTACAGTCTCACTGTGTCACCCACGTTGGAGTGCAGTGGTGCCATCATAGGTCACTGCAGCCACGAATTCCTGGCCTCAAGTAATCCTCCCACCTCAGCTTCCTAAAGTGCTGGGATTATAGGCAGGCACCACCACGTCCAGCCTCATCTGCATTTTATTTTTATTTATTTTATTTATTTTTTTGAGACAAGAGTCTCATTCTGTCACCCAGGCTAGAATGCAGTGGCAAGGTCTTGGCTCACTTCAGCCTCCGCCTCCCAGGTTCAAGCAATTCTCGTGCCTCAGCCTCCTGAGTAGCTGGGACTACGCATGTGTGCCACCACGCCCAGCTAATTTTTGTATTTTTAGTAGAGATGGGCTTTCACCATGTTGGTCAGGCTGGTCTTGAACTCCTGGCCTCAAGTGATCCTCCAGCCTCAGCTTGCTAAAGTGCTGGGATTACAGGCTCAAGCCACTGCACCTGGCCCCATCTGCATTCTCACAGGCCCTCCAGGAGCTTTTTGAGCACGCTAAAGTGTGAGTATCTCTGCTTTGCATGTTCTCCCATCTCTCTAGGGCCACCCCAGAGAACTGCTTGCTAAGGAGAGAAGAGCACCCCATGTCATTGTCATTCCTGAATTCAGGTTTCCCACCTGCCAGGAGGGAGGCCCCCACCCTTCCCTGTCAATATGAATCCTTTATATTGATGAGGCATTGGACAGTTTCCAAAACAATTTCACACTCATCTAGAGCCAGATAAGCCAAGTCCTGTAGAGACGCCTCTGGTTATTTTGTTTTTTATTTTGAGATGGAGTCTCATTCTGTTGCCCAGGCTGCTGTGCAGTGGAATGATCTTGGCTCACTGCAGCCTCTGCCTCCTGGGTTCAAACGATTCTCCTGAGCCTCCTGAGTAGGTGAGATTATAAGTGTGCGCCACCACACCTGGATAATTTTTGTATTTTTAATAGAGACAGGGGTTTCACTATATTGGCCGGGCTGGTCTTGAACTCATGACCTAAGGTGATCCACCCGCCTCGACCTCCCAAAGTGCTGGGATTACAGGCATGAGCCACCGCACCCGGTGCTTCTGTTCTTTTAAAGGTAAGGAAAAGCCAGGCATGGTGGCTCACACCTGTAGTCCCAGCATTTTGGAAGGCTGGAGTGGGAGGATCATTTGAGGTTGTGTGTTCGAGACCAGCCTGGGCAACACAGCCAGACCCACGTCTCCACACAAAATACAAAAATTTAGTGGGGCGTGGTGGTAGGCACCTGCTCCTCAGGAGGCTGAGGTGGGAGGATTGCTTGAGCCCCGGAGGTCAAGGCTGCAGTGAGCCATGATCATGCCACTGCACTCCAGCCTGGGCTATGGAGCAAGGCCCAGACTAAAAAAATAAAATAAAAAATACAGATGAGGAGGTGGAGCTCCAGATATGAAGAAGATGCATGCAAGATGTTGCAGCTAACAAGATGCCGCAGCTAACAAGATGCCAAGCTCACCACAACTCCCCTCTCCCTACGCCTTCAGTCTTCATTCAGGAAACCTCCCCTCTCAGAAGACAAGCCTCCGTGGCTTCCAAAGCTAAGGCAGACGTTGGTGGTGTGCCGGGCCGGTCTGGCTCCCAGCTGGGCTTAGTTTGGCTCACAGAATGTTGATGTAAAAAGACAAATTCCTTTGCTTAGTTGCCAATACTGTAAAGGCAAGAAATCTCATATAAAAATAGGAATTTCCACCTTCTCTTGACAAAATCAGAAGCTCTAGCCAGGTTTGCCTGCCTTGGGCATGGCGGCAGTGTCTTGGAGCCCTCTCCAGCTAAGCCTGGGCCTTCCCACTCCCTGTCCACACCCAACATCAAAGCCGAATGACCAATGCCTTTTACCATCAAGTGAGAGCTGTTTGCTTCCAAGGAGCTAAGAAGACAGTGAAATGCAGCTCCTATCTTTGTTTCTATCAAATGTGGGGCAGGCCGAGCATGGTGGCTCATGCCTATAATCCCAGCACTTTGGGTGGCCGAGGCGGGCTGATCACTTGAGGTTAGGATTTTAAAATCAGCTTGGCCAACATGGTGAAACCCCATCTCTACTAAAAATACAAAATTTAGCCGTTCATGGTGGCTGGCGCCTGTAGTCACAGCTACTCAGGAGGCCAAGGCAGTAGAATCGCTTGAAATCAGATCCAACCATTTCAGCCTGGGTGACAGGGTGAGACTCTGTCTCAAAAAAAAAAAAAAATCTCTGGATCTTAATTTGAGAACCTTTGTAGCAGTGTCTGTTTCAGCTTCCCTGAGCCACACTGGAAGAACAAGTGTCTTGGGCGACACATAAAACACACTAACGATAGCTGATGAGCTTAAAAAAAAAAGTTGCAAAAAAAAAAATCTCGATGGGTGTGGTGGTGCGTGCCTGTAGTCCCAGCTACTTGTGAGACTGAGGTGGGAGGATCGCTTGAGTCCAGGAGTTCTGGGCTGTAGTGCGCTATGCCGATCGGGTGTCCGCAGTAAGTTTGTCATCAATATGGTGACCTCCCAGGAGCAGGGGACCACCACGTTGCCTAAGGAGGGGTGAACCAGCCCAGGTCGGAAATGGAGCAGGTCAAAACTCCGTGCTGATCAGTAGTGGGATGGTGCCTGTGAATAGCCACTGCACTCCAGCCTGGGCAACATAGCAAGACCCCGTCACTAAAAAAAAAAAAAAAATTCATGATGTTTTCAGAATGTTTACAAATTTGTGTTGGGCAGCATTCAAAGCCATCCTGGGCTGCATGTGGCCCTCGGGTTGGACAAGCTTGCCTTATAGGCACTGATTTCTACTGCTGTTTCAGGAAGACCTCAAGGAGAGGAAACATTAACTTAACATTCCCTGTTATTGCAACATGAAGGGGGAGAACAGAAACGAATGTGCTTTACCAACTTTTCTGGCAAACTCCAGGACTGAGCAGCCCCACATGACCCACCAAGCACTGGCACTTGCAAGGCAGGGATCAGGACAAGCTCTTAGCACAGGCCCTCGGCAGAGAGAAAGGACAACAGACACTCTGGTTTGGAAAACAAAAGAACCAGCCATTTTATTCCCAGTGTTCTGGGGCAGCAGGAATAAATAAGGAAGGGAGGAGACGGGGGCAGGGCAGGAAGGTTCTACGTCTTGCAGCACATCCCACATTTTGATTGACGACAGCAGCCGCAGCAGAAAATGCAGATGGGGAAGTGGGTGTCTCGCCTCCTTCGCCTCTGGATCATGGGCTGTGGGAAGGAAGGGAGTGTGAGACGGGAACAGGCCTGAGCATGGGAAGGGAGCAGGGGGCTGGGAAGGGCGTCACTGGCTTGCTCACCATCCAGCTGGCCCTGGCTCCAGCTCTGTCCTGGGGTTGAAGCTCGGTGAGTTGTCCTGTCTGTGAAAACAAGGGGGCATTGAGGATGGCAGGGGACCCGGCGGACCTCTTAGACTGGCTCCCAGCAACCTGCTCCTCTCCAAGTGGTTTAAACCCAGAGCTCAGCTGGACTTCTAGGAGGGGCCTTGCTTTCTTGCTTCTGCTCACCTTCCCACGGGTGGTTCTTCCTTTAAAAAAAATCTCCCAGATCTGCCTCCTCCTCTTTCCACAGCTGTGACTCTTCTTTGGGACATCACCTTCCCTTGCCTGCATGCCAGTGCCTCCTAACACATCTCCCTGCATTCTCACCCCTCAATCCATTTGCCACAAAGCAGAGTCACTTTGTTTGTTTGTTCTTTTAGAGACAGGGTCTCCTTCTGTCGCCCAGGCTGGAGTGCAGTGGCACAGTCATGGTGCCCTGCACCCTCGGCTTCCTTTGCTCAAGCGACCCTCCCGCCTCAGCTTCCTGAGTAGCTGGGACAGCAAGTGCATGCCACCTCACCTGGCACATTTTTTAATTTTTTTGTAGAGGTGGGGTCTGGCTGTGTTGCCCAGGCTGGTCTCAAACTCCTGAGCTCAAGTGATCTTCCTACCTTGGCCTTCCAAAATTCTGGAATTACAGCTGTGAGCCACAGTGCCCAGGTGGCAGACTAACGTTTTTAAAAACATGGCCAGCGAGATTGTGGTTTTCCCCATTTAAAAAATTTACAGGAGGCCAGGCAAGGTGACTCACGCCTGTAATCACAGCACTTTGGGAGGCTGAGGTGGGCAGATCACCTGAGGTCAGGAGTTCAAGACCAGCCTGGCCAACATGGTGAAACCCTGTCTCTACTAAAAATACAAAAATTAGCCGGGTGTAGTGGCATGCACCTGTAATCCCAGCACTTTGGGAGTCCGAGGCAGGTGGATCACTTGAGGTCAGGAATTCAAGACCAGCCTGGCCAACATGGTGAAACCCTGTCTCTACTAAACGTATAAAAATTAGCCAGGTGTGGTGGCAGGCGCCTGTAATCCCAGCTACTCAGGAAGCTGAGGCAGGAGAATTGCTTGAATCCAGGAGGTGGAGGTTGCAGTGAGCCAAGATGACACCACTGCACTCCAGCCTGGGCGAGAGAGAGACTTCATCTCACACATACACACACAAAAAGCCTGCAGGGGCTTCCTCTTTACTCCAAGGAAAAATCAGTGTCTGCATGGCTGCCCACGAGACTTTGGGACCTGCCCACCCTCAGCCTTATCCCCAAGTCCCACCTTCTCTTCTGGTTCAGCTCTGACCCTGGGCTATGCTGGCTTGTCCTCTCCTTGGGTCTTTGCTGCCTCCATCTCTCACCCTCCAAGATGTAAGTCAACCGTCACTTTCTCAGGAAACACTTGCTCGACTGCCAGCCCCTTGACCGCGCCCGTGGTCCCCCAACCTGTGGCGTGTGCCTGCCGTCCCAGCTACTTGGGCAGCTGAGGCAGGAGGATCGCTCCAGCACAGGAGGTTGAGGCTACAGTGAGCTGTGACTGTGCCACTGCACTCCAGCCTCGGCAACAGAGGGAGACCCTGTCTCTAAAAAACAAACCAAAAAAGTGACTGCTGTGTGGCGAATGGATCACGGTCACTCTACCAAGTGACACAGCATAGGGGCTTCGTAAATACCCACAGAATTAGGACCTTCCAGTCCCTGTCACTCGGTGCTTCACTGATTTCTGTTCTCTTTTTGGAGATGGAGTTTTGCTCTGTCACCCAGGCTGGAGTGCAGTGGTGCGATCTCAGCTCACCGTGCAACCTCCACCTCCCAGGTTCAAGTGATTCTCCCGCCTCAGTCTCCCATGTAGCTGGGATTACAGGCACCCACCATCACGCCCAGCTAATTTTTGTATTTTTAGTAGAGAGGGGGTTTCACCATGTTGGCCAGGCTGGTCTCAAACTGACCTCAAGTGATCCACCCGCCTCAGCCTCCCAAAGTACTGGGATTACAGGTGTGAGCCATCGTGCCTGGCCTGATTCCTGTTCTTTAAGCAGCTGCCAGTCCCCCTGAGCCGTCCTGAACTCTGCTCAGTGCTCAGGTGTCTCCAGTGCCCTCGGCTGGGGCCTGGCTCTCCCATCCCTGCTACCCTGCTAGGACCCAGGTTGCTGGGCTCTTACCTGTTGTGGGAAAACGAAGCCACTGGTCAGGTTGGCGAGAAGGAGGAGGAGGAAGAGGCAGACGGCCCAGATCTGGGAGCTCAATGCCATCGTGCTGTCTGTCCGCTGTCCCACTGCTGGGTCTTGAGCTTGCTCTGGTGTCTGGGACCCAGTGACAGTCGCTTTTATAGGGCCTGCCAGGGGAGGCAGTGGTCTGAGCCCCCTCCCCTTTGCTCTGACTCATTTCCAAGAAGATAGTGGCGCCGAAAAGGCGGGAGAGATAAGCGGGAACAGAGCAACAGGGAACAGGATTGTGTCACCCTCAGCCGGCAGAGGTGTGTCTGGGGGGTGGGGCAGATGGGGCCACAGACACACACTGCTCACCAGCACAGCCGTACAGGGAAACCTTTCCCCATCACGACGTCATCCTGCTGATAGGGAAAAAGTTCCCTGCTTTGCTTCAGCGGTTAAGCAGTTTGATGAGCAGAATCAAGGTTCCGCTCTCCTCCACCTGCTTCCTGGCCGCCATGAGCACGGGGCATGGCTGGCAGCTGCAGGCCCCCCAGGAGTGTCCGGCACATTGGGGGAAGCATCCATTGCATTGGGCTCTCACCACACATGCATCGGTTCTGGCAGGGAATGCTGGATATCCCTGAGCAGGACGGGCATCAACGTGTGCCCCTGGGCCGGGCGCGGTGGCTCAAGCCTGTAATCCCAGCACTGTGGGAGGCTGAGGCGGGTGGATCACGAGGTCAAGAGATCGAGACCATCCTGGTCAACATGGTGAAACCCCGTCTCTACTAAAAATACAAAAAATTAGCTGGGCATGGTGGCGTGTGCCTGTAATCCCAGCGACTCAGGAGGCTGAGGCAGGAGAATTGCCTGAACCCGGGAGGCGGAGGTTGCGGTGAGCCGAGATCGCGCCATTGCACTCCAGCCTGGGTAACAAGAGCGAAACTCCGTCTCAAAAAAAAAAAAAAAAAAACGTGTGCCCCTGATCCGCACATGGTGTTTTCCCAGTGTCAGACCCTTGAGATGTGGCTCTGGTAACTGGAAAATGTTTGAGCAAACTTTTGGCCATAAATGACAGCAGAAATATGGCCCAACACTGTGGCTCATGTCTCTAATCCCAGCACTTTGGGAGGCCGAGGCATGAGGATTGCTTGAGCCCAGAAGTTCAAGACTAGCCTGAGCAACATAGGGAAACCCCCATCTCTACAAAAAAAATTTTTAAACAAAGTTAGCCAGGCATGGTGGCACACATCTGTAGTCCCAGCTATTTGGGAGGCTGAGGCGGGAGGATCACTTAAGCCCAGGAGGTTGAGGCTGTAGTGAGCTATGATTGTGCAACTGCACTCCAGTCTGGGTGACAGAGTGAGACCATCTATAAAATCTGAAATAGCGGTAACAGTAATAGCTAACATCTGCTGTCTGATGAGTGCATTTTATACGACGGCACATATGTTAACTCACTTCTGCACCAGCTCAGCCTGTGCCGCTTATTCTCCCAGCAGCACTTGCTGCCCCACCCTGGGCTCTGCTCTCTATTCAGGGGCTGCCTTCTCAGCCATCCAACCCCAGGGGCCTGGGCTCCCCAGACCCTGCTCCCTCTTAGGAGCCTCCTCCCCGTTGAACACTCATTTCCTTCACTTTAAAGAAAACGCACCAAAGGCAGAGATCAGGGTACAGGCCAAGCTTGCCCAGCCAGAGGCAGAGCTGGGATTCCAGCCTGGACAGCCTGACCCCAGGGCCTGTGCACTTACCCATAGGCTTCCCCATCTCCCCTAAAACACAGCAGGGCACAGTGGCTTGTTAGACCTGCTCCAGAGCAGACCATGCACATCTCGAAACTCTGCATTCAGTAGCATCATGGTGGCACCCTGAAATCAGCAGTGGTAGGTATGTTGACATACAGAAATCGGCAAGCACTACAAGCCAGGGATGTTTACAGGGAGCTGGTTCCTTGGGACACCAATGGCTGGGGGATAAACCCAGGCTGCCTGACTGCTGGCTGTTAGCAGTCATCCATCCACTGCCACCATTCCCATCCACTGCCAGTATTCCCGCCCACTGCCACTATTCCCGCCCACTGCCACTATTCCCGCCCACTGCCATTATTCCCATCCACTGCCACAATTCCCACCCACTGCCCCTATCCACTACTAGGTCCAGCTCAGGGTGCACATGGCCCAAGGGACCGACAAACCTTGGTTCCAGATGGGCCCTTGGACATTTTGCCACTTTGCCTCTTTCATTCCAGGGCCATCCAGTGTCAGCCCAGTCACCAGAGCCTGGGAATGTTGTTGTTAAGGAATGAACACTTCTGACCGGCTGCTGAGCCGCTGCCAAGGCCCACTCAAAGCACAGAAATGGACAGGCCCTGTCATCTGCCTACCCGTCCACACCACATGGGAGGCTCCTCGTGCCACAGCCTGGGTAACAAAGTGAGACCCCATCTCTACAGAAACCTGGCTATAGTTGGTCAATATTACAGTGAGCCATGATCGTCGCCACTGCACTCTAGCCTGGGTGACAAGAGTGAGACCCTATCTCTGAAAACTGAGTGAATAAAGATGGCTTCAGATGGGAATGGCTAGGAAAAGAAGACAGGGCTCTTGAGAGAAGAGACGAGGTGGGGGGTACTCGGGGGTAAGGCAGGGCATGGAGCTCCACAAGGTGAGCAGAGTGGCAGGCCCAACCCCTGGGAGTGGATGGAGCTGAAAGGGGCTGCAGGATGAGGCAGGGCCCAGAAAGTGGTCACTGGGGGAGACATGCAGCAGCCCCCAGCCCTACCAGGCTGCATCACAGCTCGGGCCAGGTTTCATCATCAGCCGGGGCAGGGGTCACAGCACAGGCGCCAGGGCCTCGGTGGAAGGCGACAGGCTGACGGGCCAAGCTTGGCGCTCTGGCTATCTGCCCTCTCTGGGGGTGAGGGGCTCAAGGCCAGGCCCCACCATTGGCTGGTGCAGAGGGGAGGGCTTCAGCCCAGCAGGGTAGGGCCAGGGGCTGGTCCTGTTTCCAGGAACTACTGACACAGAGACCCCAGCCTCTCCTCCAACATGGGACACGTCCTTGACCCCAGCTCCCGCTGTTCCACACCCTCATACACACCTAGGGCCTCAAACGGGACATTCATTCCTTAATTCCTCCATCCATCCAACCACTGGGTACCGGGTGGTGCAGCTGGCAGGGACCGCACACAGCCATGTGCACAACAGTGGAACGGTGCCTTGTGGAGCTCTGCAGACCCCAGGCCCCATCCCCACTCCTGAGACGGACAGACACACAAGCAGACAAGGCGGGGGCCACATGGGGCCAGTTTATTGCAGTTAAATACCTCTCTCTCTCTCTATTTTTTTTTGTCAATTTTTCCATAAAGAAAATTAAAACACACACACACACACACCCAAAGGGGAGCAGGGACCCAGAAACAAGAGGTGGAGTGGGATGCTGCCACCCTGCGTAGGTCCAGGCCCTGGGTGGCCCCCACCAGAGGCTCCCCTCCTTCCCATCAGCACCCTGTCTCAGTACCTCCAGAGACCAGGAGGCAGTGGGACGCAGCAGGGCCTCTGTCCCCCTCCCTCCTGCCTCCAGGTGAGACCACTAGAAGTGCCGGGGCTTAGTGAGGGCCGGGAGTAGGGCGACAGACAGACAGATGGGGAGGGAGGATACCGTTTCCAAGTGGAGGAGGGCGGTGGGCACTGTATCCACAGAAATGCATTATTTCTCCCCGTTTTTTTTTTTTTTTGTTAAAAATCTACTATAAAAAAACGCAGCTGGGGGAGGGGCGTGTGTCCCTCTCTGTGCTAAGGGCTGGGGAAGGGGGCAGCAGAGGCCGGCGTGGGTGGCGGCGGCTGCGCAGTGGCGGCGGGCGTCACTGCCGGGTGCTCTCGCCCACCATCTCCAGGTTGTGCTGCTGCAGCTGGGCTCGAAGCAGGGCATTCTCATTCTTCAGCTCCTCAATCTGGCGGACACGACAGGGGACAAGGGAGTAGAGGGCCGGTGCCTGGCCTCTGGGGCTCCTGGGCCCTGACCCGCTCCAGGCCTGGCACCCACCTGCTGCCTCAGGAGTTCGTTGTCCATCTGCAGCCGCTCGGCCTCCTTGAAGGTCTCCTGCATGCGCTGATTGGTCTGGCGCAGCTCCCGGATGTAATCGCAGGCCTTGGACAGGATCCCTCCTTTACTCTGGAGGGCGAGGGGACCAGGAGCCTTAGGGCGGGTACCACCCACTGGTCCCCACCCCAGGACGACTCCCAAGCCCCATGGCAGTTGGACTTGCTGCGTGCAAGGGCTGGGGGCCAGGCCCGCTGCAGCCCCTGAGGGTCCGGGGCGCTCACCGCTCCCGTCTTGCTGTTGTCTGCATTACAGTCTGGAATGATTTTCGAAAGCTGGACGATCCAGTTGTTGATCTTGTCCCTCCGCCTCCGCTCCACTGCGGGAAACAGCCACAGCCACGGCTTCGCTGACAGCGCTCGTGCCTGAGCGGCCATCCTCACAGGGCAGAGGCTCAGCCCAAGGACACCAAGGCATGGCGCAGGCCCCACCCAGACCACAGCCCTGGGAAGTGTAGGGCGGCAACATGAGCCCAGCCACCCCCCACCCCAGCTTCTCAAGAGGAACAAGGGAAGCTGGGCCATCCAGTGCCAGGACGGACGTCAAACGTCAACGGTCAGGCACTTTGAGTTCATTCTGGGGGCCTGCCCCGCCATACTTGTACAAATTTGAATTGACAGTTAAAAATAAGAAAAGTTCACGTCATAATTGGCATCGCTGGCTCCTTTGGAGAAATGGCGCTCTGGCCACAGTGGGCACATATTGGGAGGCAGGCTCCTCTGCATAAGACCAGTGCCATCTCTGGCTCCCGAAGCCCCTGCACTGGATTCTCCAGTCTCCCTAGAGACTCTGGGCCGCGTGATTTTGTTTTTTTTTCCCTCATCCCTAAGTCCTAGTCTGACCATGTTTCGCCCCTGCTTAAAATCCTTCCACGGGGCAATGGCAGCTCCTAACTGGCACCTGCAGCTCCTGGGGCCTGGCTCACAGGGCATCGGCTCACCCAGGAGAGACACAAACCCTATGCTGAAGGCCAGAGATGGCAACTCATAGAAGATTTTACTTTAAAAACGCAGATTTGTGACTTAACTCCATAAAACTCCACAATCTCACCCAACTGTATTGGCTGGGCGGCAGCTGCCCCCAGGCAGAGCACATCCCATCCTGATACCTGCCTGGGATCTGTGTGTCCCAGAGCCTGAGACCCCCGGCTCA